AACACATGATGATAATTCAGATGCCTTAACATTAGAGTGCAATGTCAAGACAGATGTTATGACATCTTAAGTCTGACAGAACAATATTATCAAACTTTAGTTATGCAGAATCAGTAAATTGCATAATGATAAAAACACGGTTAATTGTTAAACTAGTTCGGTGAAACATCACCTACATCTGGGAGAATCCAAGTTAAGAAGAAAATTCACTATCCATAAGACTAATTCAAAGTTAAACAATCTCAGTTTACAGCTTCTCACTTAATATCTACCCAATGCAACTTCTACCTAGGAACTTCTAGATATGAGACCCCTCTCACTTTCCATAATGGTTAGTGATAACCTCAACAATAATGAACTATAAAAGATCACACTTCCAAAACACTACTTGGTTTGCTTAAAAGCTTCACCCAAGAACAATACCCAACTCTATTGCTTAAAAGCTTTAGAGTGAGAACAACATATACAAGCAATATGTCTACCACAATGTATCAAACGATACAAATGGTGACTTACAAAGTCACACACATAAGAGACTCTCAAAACATAGCTCTATAAAACCCCCCCTTATTTTTCAAAAGTGAAATTCGTCAATATGATAGGTTTAGGTATTCTTTAAATACTCCTCATCAGTCCATGAGCTTGGAAATCTTCACCCAGTTCTAACTTGATCCGCACGCTGAGAGCTGCATCAATTATGCAGAAAAAATCTCCTTGAATCTTGGAACAAATCATCAAGTTTCCTAAATTGTCTCAACACCCAATTTAACAACTTGTATACAGCTGGAGATATGAAAACTTGTTACAGATAACATCTTATTGACCTGCATAAATAACTGAGATATATCCAAAAGAAATATCACATAATCAAATCAAATCAAATCTTGTCAAGATTTAAAACAGCCAGAACTGATGTTCAGGTACAACATGTTACAACATTTGTCAGGACATCTGCTCACAAAATGACTTATTCAGCATGTTACAACATCACACACAACATCCTGTTGTGAGCCATGTTTTAGCAAAATTATTGTCAATCCTAAAATCATGAAACCTTCAACTAGAAAGAACATTGTTCCTCCTAAGTCACAACCCGTTTTGGCGAGTGCCCTTTTTAGTAAAAGTGTTTAGAACATGGATGTAAAGTTTGATAGGAATATAAGACATAAAACATTTTTTTTGTTTGCAAGTAACACATGCTCAAGAATTTCTCCTTGTTGTCCCTATTGATGAGGTTTTCTATGTTTACTACAATGCATGGTTGAGTACATTTTGGGAACACGCCATTCATTATATGGAGTTTTAGGGGTTCAAATACCAACATGACTTTTTTAGGAATGTATTATGTGATATATTTAGGTGTGTCGGGGTATCTGTGAAGAAAGAGATACATGTTAATTTCTTGACTGACCCACGTGAAGGGAGATCGACACTTAGGCCATCAGATGTTCTGGTGTACGGGTGGGTATGATGGAAACATGATGTGTAGACTTGAGTGGGGTTTCCCCACTGGTGGAGCTAAGGGCAAAGGTTCATTCATAACAATGTTGTGTTTCCTAGAACAACGAATATAATTTTTAAGATTGATTTTGTCATCCGAAAAGGAGTACAACATAACTTGTTGCTCATTTGTTTATTATTTCTTTATAATTTTAATTATATATATATATATATATATATATATATATATATATATATATATATATATATATATATATATATATATATATATATATATATATATATATATATATATAAACCTTTCTCCCAAAAAAATTAAGAATACCGACTTTGAGATTTAAATAAAAATTAAAAAAATTAACATAATTAATTATGTTATTAACATTTATTCATTAAAAAATTAAATAGACATTGATGATTACTAAAACTATACATTGTAGTATATTCAAAACATTAAAAAAATTATGTAAATAAAATAAAAAAGAATCACCATAAACAGAAAAAGAAGAGAAAGAACAAAAATTGAATATAACAATAGAAAATCCACAAGTAGCAATTCAAATTATGTGAGAAAGTTTTTCTTTGACTTAAATTCAAAGAAGATACTAAAACCTCTAAAATTTATAATTGCTCCATAAATATCATAATTTAATGAAGTCAACACTTATTTTTAATGAGAGCAAAAATAAAGTATTCACTAGAAACAAAAAAAAAACAAAAAAAAGCAGGTGGAGGCACCTACCATATAATTTATGGCTAAAAATGACTGTAGTTGTAATTGTCACGTAGCTATTGGGCACACTCCGTTCTTTTTTGCGTTTTCACATGTCATTATATTTCTTTTCTTTGGTGCCAACTTTGCTTCTTTTAATATTAAAACGAGATTAATTATACATCTTCCGTTCTATGATAAATAACTCACTTGATTATTTTAAATATATTAATTTTATTAAATTATTTTTATTATTTATTGAAAATAATAAAAATAATATTAATTAGATGGTAAAACTAAAATAAATTATTTATTTTAAAAACTCTTTTATTGCAAATAATCACTCCTTTTAAGACAAAGGTAGTAAAAACTTTCTAAAAGAATATATATATTTTTGTTTAATTTAATATGACTATTTGATTTAACTTAATTATAAATTACAAAAACATGATGAATCACTATAATAAAAAAAGTGTAATACTCGTAAATTTGTATTAAACTACATAAATTGTCCACCTAAATCATAAAAATTAACACAGAATAAAAGATAAAATAAAAAAAAAATGAAAAAACATAGGAGAAGTTTTCATGGAGTAAAATATAAAATGGATTTTTTAATTTTGACAACAAAAATGCAAAATCAGGTTAAAGAGTAAAATTCAACGATTTTACACAATTTCACCTATTTCAGAGTGATTTAAATCGTTTAAAATCGTCCGAGGACATGATTTTACATAAAAACATATATATCTAGAATTTAATACGAAATATTGATCTAGAAACATGAAATCTATAGATTTTATGTTTTAAATTGCGATTTTAACAATCTTGATATGAATGGATAAAATTGTTGTGAAACCCGACAAAGAGAAAATAAAAGACACAATCATAACACAACAAGATAAAACATGAAAACTCTAAAATCGAAGAAAAAACTATTGTTGTTCAAATGACTTCAAAGAATAATACTATATGAAAATTGTTACAACATATAATATACCCTCAATCACTCTCTCCAAAATAAATATTTAACTATATCTCACAATACTCTAACACGAGTAATACTACCTCCGTTTTTTATTATAAGTCGTTTTGGGAAAATATTTTGTACCACAATATAAGTCGTTTTATAATACCAATGAACCATTAATGTTATTTTTCCTATTATATCCTTAAATATTTATTATTCTCTTTCCTTTCAATTATGTAAATATGTATTTCCAATATAATTAATGAAGGACAATTTTGTAAAACTATTCATAATTTCTCTTTTTCATACCATAATTATTATATTTCTTAATATGTGTGAAAAGTCAAAAACGACTTATAATAAAAAACGGAGGGAGTATAAGTTAACAAAAAGTCAAATAGAAACTTAAAGTGTTTTTGGCTAATATATTTTGTAATGACGAACTTGAATCTTTTATATAACATTGATCTTCATCTTCTTTTACACAACTGAACGACGTGAGACTTCTTCATCATATATATTTTCAACAAACCCCAACAAAAGTCTTTTAAAAAACCTTATTTTTAAACGGTTTATTAGCATTTTCTCATGTTATTCATTTTTTGAAAGGTTTTGATTATCAATATTCATTTGTTAGATCTCACATTATTCTAATGAGCCCACTCTCCAAAATATGCAAAATTTAGAGGGTTTCTTTTTCTACCTCATGTATTTTTTAGCCACCTCGCGAGTTTTCAAAAATATCTTTCGTTTTTGAAAATATATTTTTAGACGCACTTTAATGCATACATTTTATTCATTTTTTTAGTCAGACCCCATTTCATAAATAAATTTATTTTAGAAATATATCTTCGAAAAAATTCCATAAATATACTTTCGAAAACAAGTTTAATTTTACTATATTTTCGAAGATATATTTCTAGAATAAATTTATTCATGAAATAGGGTCTGATTAAAAATTGAATGAAATGTATGTATTATGATGTGTCCGAAGATATATTTTCAAAAACGGAAAATATTTTTAAAAACTCGCAAGGTAGCTAAGAAACAAATGGGTTGGAAAAAGAAATCCTCAAAATTTATTGTTTTTTTTAGCTAGAATGCAAGTTCTCACAAATTCCAAGATCCTAACATTAATTTAGGAAAGAATACCGATTGCAACCTTTGACATTTGCCTTTTGTAAAAGAAAATCGTGATAAATGGATAAAATACAAACATTTTCCCTTACACTAAATTCTTACTAACGATCATGAGTTAGAGATCAATGGATTACCTTTCTTTGATCGTCGAAATAGATTGATCACAAACACAATACAAATCACAACGCCTCTACTCACTCCATACAAATATCATTTACTCCGTTAATCATTTAATTTTCAAAAGTGTGCAAAGTAGAACAGAATAATAAATAATTGTATGTGATAAATGACCCTACAACTTTATGATTAAAAAAATGAACGAGTAATTTAATGGCTTTTGGCAGGGCATAAACAAGAGATGCACGTGGAAAATGTTGAATGATCAATAGTCCTAATATGCACCAACCATTCCCTTTAGCTTTGTATACTCCGTCCTTTTTAGCTTTTCCACCTGTCATTAACATTCTTTTATAATGTTATATTCTTTGGTGTCAAATGTGATTCTCTTCACATATGTAACAGACAAAATTCAACCACATTTAAATCCAACTGAGTCAACTACGGTTCATACCAATTGGATTCACAGAGTTTTGTTAAATATTCTGCTAACAAGTTCTACAGAAATTTAAGGATTAAAGATAAAAATTCTATCTTAAAAACATCAAACCAGCAAAACTCAATACTGATTCGCCACTGTTAGAAAATCTTAAACAAATTTTATGATTGTTTCGATTGTTTCGCTTGTATCTTCTCTCTTAAATTCCGAAGCGGGCCAAAGCTTTTTTCTTTTACTTCCTCTTTGCTACAGTTGCAACTCGTAATGTTTAAGTCTTTACCACAAGTCAAGCATATACCTTTGCAGCCAGGATCACATACACTTATGAAGATCTCAATAAACACCCTGTCCCTTATGTTTTTTGAAATGTCAATTTCTTTCTCTCCACGAGGAAAATATAGTTGATCGTCCGGTTCAATTAACGCATCTTCGTCATCCTCTGCACTTTTTCCAAGAGTTTTAATTTGGTCTACCCCATAAAGAAAACCCAGATCATTAATCCCTGGATCCTCAACAGGTGGCTCTTCGGTGAGTAAAAGAGCAAACTCAGTGAATAACCCCTCAGCAAATCGCTTGCCACACCTACAATGGAAAATCACATTGAAACATGTTATTTTTATTGAAAATGAAGTAGAAGAAATAATGTGCCTTTTAATTTCTTCAACAAGTACTTTAATCAAACTCGTCATTTGCATTTTTCAGTACCGGATAGAATAGAACAATAAAAATATCAATGGAAGATACTCCGCAACTAAGCAAGTGTAAACATACATGAGATATTGTGTTACTAGAACCGCCGAAGAATTCTTCCATTTTATTATCACACCAAAACCAGGCTTGGCATAGTGTAAGTTTTAATAAACTGAGACTGATAATGGAATATTATCATGCAGCAAAAAAAATATTGTTTCGTAAAACAAACCAATCATATGAAGTATGATGGGGGAGTGTTAGGAAGTAATTCCACTGTTGGAAGCTTCTATTTATCTTGTTAGGATAAGTCACTAGTTTGTTATTCAATATTTGCAATTAGGAGGAATGTACTCTCTTAGATTCGTTATAAGATTGTACTATATATGTAAGATTTGCCATAATGAATAAAGCAGAGAAATATATTGAGGAGTTAATAATGTTAGTCATGGCATAGTTGTTATTAGCCGATAGAATTAGAGTTTGGCCAAACTCAACCTTACTCATCCGATTTATAAGGTGAGAAGTGTTAGTCTATATAAATCCTTTGTGGGTTCTATCTTCAACCAATGTAGGTGCTATTTTTCAAATGCAATCATACCTCACACTTTCCATTCATTACAATTTGGTGCTCCCATTGTGATGTCTTCACGTCCCTCCATTTCTGATTTGGCCAACATCATCGACAACCTTGCACAAACCAGCATTCTTTCCAGTCCCACATCGCAGCCAACATCGGCGCTTTTACAACCGACATGCATGGCCTTCGTATCCGTTTGGGTCCGCCCGACTTCGCACACCCAGGGGTCATGACGTCTCTCTGTTTCCTACCACCTCCATCAAGCTACACATTCCTCAATTTGACGGTGTCGACACTCTGGGTGGCAATGGTGAAGAGTTGTAGTGTACTACCATTTGTTCTAATACTTTCTTGTTTTTGGGATCACATGAATTTATTGTTGATTTGTTTGTATTACCACTCAGCGGTGCATAACTAGTTTTGGGGGTGTAGTGACTTTAGGCCCAACAGTCATTGACTATGGAAAGCTCACAATGAGTATTTGTAAGGAAGGCCAACAAATGAGTGCTAAAACCAATGCTTGAGGAAGCAAATATTCACCAGCGGCAAAGACTCCTTTCAACCGATGCCATTGATACATATCTCCGGCTTCAATTGATCATACCTGAACCCACACCACCACACCACCACCTACCCACTCCGACCACCTTGTCAACACCCTACTCACCGAATTCTCACCCCTTTTCAAAACCGCAACTCATCTTCCACCCACAAAGGCCAGTATTCTGCATGAGTGGTATGAAACTGCGTATGTCAACATCGTACCACCCTCAAAGCAAACCCAAATGGAGATCGTCAACAAAACATTGCAGCAATACTTGATGTGCTTTGTGCATGACAAGCCCAAGTTATGGGGTTAATTCCTACCATGGATTAAGTGACATTATAATACAATTGTCCACATATCTACTGGCTTTTCACCCTTCCAAGTGGTGTATGGTAAACCACCACCAACTCTAAGGAATTATATTCCAGGATCTACTACAATGCAAACAGTAGATGTTGCACTGATTAGTTGAGATGAGGTCCTATAGGTCCTGAAAACAAGTTGTTGAAAGCCAGGATAACTACGAAAGAGTATGCGGATCAAAGACGAATCCCACACCAATTCAAGGTAGGTGACTTGGTATTTGCCAAGGTGCGACCACATAGGCAAAATTTGGCGCTTGGTAGGAGGGTTCATAAGGTCCATAAGTTGTCTGAATGATTTTATGGTCCTTTCAAATTGATCCTTTCCATCTGAGAGGTAGCACTTCAACTGGAATTGCCAAGCACCGACAGGATTCATCCTGTGTTCTATGTATTGCAGTTGAAACCTTGCTTTAATACAGCTGCAAAAACCTTGGATATGCCTCTAAAAGTTGGGGATAACTACCTAGACATATGTGCTACTTACCCAACCTTTAACCTTGAGGACAAAGGCAGTTTTGATGGATACGAGGATGTCATGAGGAGGAGCCCATTCCACAATTGTGGGCCAAGAGAAATTCAGCGAGAGCCAAGTACCTCAAAGACTTTGTGGTGCCTTCTTTCAAGAAAAGGGGTAGGAAGTAATTCCACTATTGGAAGCTTCTATTTGTCTTTGCTATGAGTCATCAAGTTTGTTAGAATGAGTCACTAGTTTGTTATTCAATACTTGTAATTTGTAATTAGGAGGAATGTCCTCTCTTAGATTGTATATAGCATGAAATTAGCTGTAAATCTCTATATAAAACAGTCTCTATAGCGATATCTCATATCGTCTGATGTTATCTTCTTCAAATTTGTTTCATATTTCGAGTCCAGCCACGTAACCCCCAGAATCCCTTCAGGAAAGTACTCCCACACCCCTTGCGAAAGTTATAAATGTCTAGTTTACAATTGTTCCGCGCCAGTCTATGGATCCTGACCACTAGATATTCCTACGGTTGACCCTTACACTTCTCAACCACTGAAAACATAACGTCGTCACCCAATGTCTCTCGTATTTATCCCTGAGGTCGTATTTATCCCTGAAATCATTGCAAACTCTCTTCTGACGCTCCCGTCATCTCCGAATATGATCCTGCATCCTGAATCCGATCTTCCGATTACCCTTCGAAAAAGTCTACGTCAAATACGAAATCCTTCTCCACATTATATTGATTTATGTTATTGTCGTCTTTTCCCTTTGCATTATACTTTCTTCTCCTCTTTGTCTTTTGTTTCTATTCCTAATACTTTAGGTAAAGCGTTATCTCACTCTAAGTGAAGGCAAGCGATGATTGTGAGATGTGTGTTCTTCAAAGCAGTGGTACCTGTTCCTCTTTTCCCTAGGAAATATTTTGTAGGTTGTCGCTAACTTTATACAATGAAGGTTGGTTCAAAAGGTAAAATTGATCGATTTAAAGCTCGCTTGGTAACCAAAGGATACACTCCGATTTTTGGGTTGGTTTATACTATAGTGATACTTTCTCGCCCGTAACCAAGATGGCATCTGATAGACTTCTTCTCGCCATTGCAGCCATTCGACATTGGCCTTTATTCAACTTGACATCAAAAATGCAATTTTACATGGTGATCTTGAAAAGGATATATATATATATATATATATATATATATATATATATATATATATATATATATATATATATATATATATATATAGAGAGAGAGAGAGAGAGAGAGAGAGAGAGAGAGAGAGAGAGAGAGAGAGAGAGAGAGCAACCACCTGGGTTTGTTGCTCAAAGAGAGTCATCGACTATGGTTTGTAGGCTACACAGATCTCTTTATGGTCTTAAGCAATCTCCGAGAGTTTGGTTTGCCACTTTCAACACTGTAATACAATAGTTTGGTATGGTCTGTAATGAAGCTGACCATTATGTATTTACCTTATTGTGTATGTAGATGTTATTGTCATAATTGATAGTGATCAGCACAGATTACTTCGATTAAAACAACATCTCTTTAATCGATTTTAGACCAACAAAAAAATTTTGGTAAACTCCGCTATTTTTTGGGTTTGAAGTAGCTCAATCTAAAGATAGTTTGGTGATTTCTCTACGAAAATATGTTATGGATATTTAAGAAGAAACAGGTTTGTTAAACGCTAAACCAGTTAATACTCCTATGGATCCAAGTGTCAAACTCCTACCCAATTAGGGGGAGCCTATATCTGACTTGTGAAGGTATAGGAGGTTGGTTGGAAAGTTGAATTATCTCACGGTCACTCGTCCAGACATTTCTTTTGAAGTTAGTGTGGTAGGTCAGTTATTAAATTCTCCTTGCCATTAACACATGGATGTTGTTGTCTGGATTTTAAGATACATCAAATGTGCTCTAGGAAAAGATCTCGTGTATGATAATAAATGACATACTCAGATAATTGCATACTCCGATGCTGATCAGGAGGAGCCTCTATCTGACTCGTGAAGATACAGGAGGTTGGTTGAAAAGTTGAATTATCTCACGGTCACTCGTCCGAACATTTCTTTTGAAGTTAGTGTGGTAAGTCAGTTCTTAAATTCTCCTTGTCATTAACACATGGATGTTGTTGTCTAGATTCTAAGATACATCAAATGTGCTCTAGGAAAAGGTCTCGTGTATGAAAATAAAGGACATACTCAGATAATTAGATACTCTGATGCTGATTGGACAGGGTCACCCAATGATAGACGATCCACCTCTGGGTATTGTGTATTTCTTAGAGGAAACCTTATATCCTGAAAAAGTAAGAAACAAAATGTAGTTGCAAGACCAAGCGTTGAGGTAGAGTATAAGGTCATGGCAATGGCAACATGTGAACTCATTTGGTTAAAGTAGTTGTTCAAGGAACTTTAAATTGAAGAAACAAGACCAGTGACATTTATTTGTAATTGTTAAGAGTCCCACATCGGACAATATATGGCATAAACATGTGTTTATAAGTGGGGGCAATCCTCCCTCTACCAACCGGTTTTGTAGGGTTGAGTTAGGTCCAACCACATTTCTAAACATGGTATCAGAGCCTCGTTTAAGATCCGGTGGGCCACCTTCTATGGTTTCCGCTATCGGGCCACCCACCATTTATTTCCACGCTTCAGTTGTCCAGTCCTGAGCGTGAGGGAGTGTGTTAAGAGTCTCACATCGGACAATATATGGCATAAACATGTGTTTATAAGTGGGGGCAATCCTCACTCTACCAACCGGTTTTGTAGGGTTGAGTTAGGCCCAACCACATTTCTAAACAGTAATAATCAAGCTGGATTACACATTGCTTCAAATTCTACCAACCGGTTTTGTAGGGTTGAGTTAGGCCCAACCACATTTCTAAACAGTAATAATCAAGCTGGATTACACATTGCTTCAAATTCAGCCTTCTATGAAGGACCAAACATATTGATATAGATTGTCACTTTGTCAGAGAGAAGATTGCATCAGGCGACATCGTTACAAACTTTGTCAACTCTAATGATCAATTGGCAGATGTATTACTGAGCTAACTATATATGTGACAAACTTGCTGCAATTAACTTATATGCTCAAACTTGAGGGGGTGTTGATATTTGTATGTCAACATTTGTATATAGAAAAGTTCCACATCGTCTATAGTATGTAATTAGTGGTAAATCTCTTTATATATAAAACAGTCACCGTAGTGCTATTTAAACACACGGTTTGTTCAAATATCTCTCATTCCCTCTTATTTTAAGAGTTCTGAAATAGTATTGTATGGGTTGCCATAATGAACAAAGCATAGAAATAGAAATATATTGAGTAATTAATATTGTTATTGATAGCATGGTTGTTATTAGCTACTATTTTCCAACTGCATTCATACCTCTAAGTTCTCACACTTTCCATCCATTACAATGATCAACTATTGGGAGGAAAACCTTTGTATTTAACCGGAAATAGAGAAGATTTTAGATTAGGATATAAGCCTAGATACACCATACTTCTTGAAATGTCTGAATTTCCCTATATAAAGTATAAAGTCTATGCAGTATGCACTTTCACCCAACCACAGACTCTACAATAAAAATAAACAACAGAAACTCCACGGGTAACCTATGATTTGCTCTCACTCTCTCTCTCTCTCTCTAGTGAGTTAAATATATGAAACAGCGGAGAATGTGGACAAAGAAAGAACAAGGAAGCATTTACTACATTCTGTTTGAGTAATACGAGAGTGAAAATTGAAAGGAGAGTTGCACCATGGTATATACATAAGCTTGGTTGGTCAGGTTTATAGGAATATAATTCTAAGAGGGGTTTAGTACAAGGTTTTAAATATGATGGATTCCTAGCAAAAAGACATAACTTCCATTGTTAAAACTCCATTTTGCCCTGTTATCTAATCAGAACATAACATACAAAGCCATCCAACACCTAGTATAATATGATATAACAGAACAATCCAACACCCAGTATAGAACAGATATATAACTTCCATGTAAAAGGACACCAATAACTAATTTCTTAGTTCTTACATCGCTTCTTCAGTGGCACGCAACAATTGTAGTCAATTACTCCAAATTTAAATAAGGCATTATAAATATTAAGCAGTGTAACATCAAGAAAGATATGAAAACAAAAGCTAGAGAGGATAAAAACGTAAATTCGTGAGAAAGATACCTATTACACGGAAGTGTGATGACAGTTTTGATGATCCCATCAAGCCTCAATTTTTTCTTCTTCCTGGTAACATCAATAGAAATCTGAACCGGAGTTCCATTTGGATAATCCTTCACTGATTTCGCAACTCGCAATCCCATAACAGAAGCCTTCTTTTTTGTATCATCAGTTGAAATTTTTCCTAAACCTAATCTCTCCAAAGTAGTGCAATACTCGAGATGTAAAACTGAAGCATCTCTCTTGTATATAACTGCACCTTCCCATGGCGACCCAGCATCCTTAAGTTTTTTTTGCACTTTTTCGATGAATTTTTCATCTAAATCTTCTACATCATTCAAACTGTAGGTCGCAGAATATTCGTAGGTGTCAGAATCATTATTAAGACCATTGCATCTTGATGAAAATTTGTGCCTAAAGGGTGAAGCTACGAGGCTTGTTTTACGAAGGGGAAGGGTTGTATTTCGAAAAGAGGTGAACGAATTAGAGGAAAATCTTGTTGGGAAGTTTGAATTGTAGGTTTTCCATTGAGAAAAACACAAAGGGGTTGCGGAAGATGAAAGCGCTAAAAGTGGCATTTTTAGGATTCAGTTAGAATGATGCAACACGTTGTTACAGAGAGTGGAGAACTGGGATAAGACAGTGGCACATTGATAACGTTGTTTTGTTGTTCCTAGGGGAGAAAATTTGAGATGTTGCGAAGAGAGGAGAAAAAAATGGGCTGCGAATATGAGGATGTAACAAAAGATTAACTGGATATAACCTATCACCCCATGTTATATCCAGACACCCCACTTCTATTACTTATCAATCAAAAGAATTTTCACTTTTACTAAGCGGTGATTTTCTAAATTTCTGATAGTTAAGACAAAAATTTTGATTTTTTTTTTCAATTTGTGGAGTTTTTTCATTTATAAAGAAAATATAAAAAAAAAAATTGGTATATTCTAGAAAAAACATACATTTTTATCAAATTTTTTAGAATTGTTGGCGAAGAAATATCAAAAAATTTGAATATTCTGGTAATTGTCTGAAAAAATCAAGAAATAAATTATCAGTACTTTTTTCCACCTACATTCAAATAATCTGATAGTATAAAATAATGATTTACTTGTGCGTTTACAACCAGAAGATTCATCCACAGATTTCTGTATAGATTATGCGCAATGTTTTTTACCACTGACGATGTATGTTTTCTTTTTAACCTGTTCAAAATTTGAAGGTTTTTTGTCACTATGATATTGACAGTTTACTCTTTATATGTTGTAAATGAACGATATTTCCCTCCTGTTCTAAAGTATTAGCATGGGCATAGTCCATTGGTGAATAGCATGGTATTATTGTTGTCAGTGTTCGTTCTGATACTACAAATGGGATGCAAGAGAAGAGAGATAAATTAATTATGGGTTGTGAGAGAAGAGGAAATTACAAACGGAAGAATACATATGAAAGTAATAATTCCTCAAAAAATATTTATAGTATGAAAGTTAAATGTCCTTTTAGGTTGAGATTTGTGTCAAGTGGTAGTGGTTAGAAGGTGATGGTTAGGTGTGAGTTTCACAATAATCAATCATCTAAGAATTTAGATGGTCATGATATATTAAGCCATCTAAAAGATCATGAAAGATATTTTGTGAATGACAACGAAGTACAATATGAGTCTAAGGTACATAGTTGCTGCTTTGAAAGACAAAGATCCAGAAAGCCTCATGAGCGTTACCCAAGTGAATAAGGCTAGAGCTACATACAATATGGACAAGAGAGGTCCATTAACGAAAATGCAAATGTTGTTGAGTCTTATTCATGGAGAAAAATGCATGTGTTGAACTAGAAATAGTGACGACTCAAATGTTGTTGTTGATATCTTTTGGATGCATCTTGATTTAGTGAAGTTGTTAAATATGTTTTATTTGGTGTTGATTTTTTATTGCACATATAAAACAAATAGGTGATGGTTTCCAGTACTTAAAAAAATACATATTTTGATTTATTTAATCATTGGTCAGCTGTTGATTAGTGATTGTGCATCGTGATCCTACATGTATTGGCTACCACTGTTTGAGATTGTCGGTGTTACGTCAACGAATTTGACGTTTACGGTTTGCCTTTGCTTATTTGGAACATGAAAGGGAGTATAACTTCACATGGGCACTGAAGAAGCTCAAATATTTGTTCTCTTCAACGAATTTGCTACCAAAAGTTGTGGTGACTAACCGACAACTTGCGCTGATGAATGTCATGGAAGTTGTGTTTTCAAATTCAACTCATTTGTTATGTCTGTTCCATATCTCAAAAAAATTTAGTATGAAGTGTTTCCAAATTCAACTCATCTATTGTGGCCTTAAGGCTTTTTCTTATATTTAGTATGTAAAACTCCGCTCCATCTAGAATCGTGGAAGGTAACCCCTTTTGAGGAAGTCTCATGACATGGGCAACCTACCAATGTGATAAGCATGTGATCTATCTCAATGTATCTTATTTAAAATCTCTCTTGTGTTTCACGTGATTGCATCACGCTAGGATGAAATCATTTAACGTGTGAGCATGAGGTATAATACTTATCATGGTCTAATATATAAATTTATCTACTCTTAAATATTTTTAATTTGATCAAATTATTTAAAGTAAGTAATCTAATTAAAACTTAGTGTATGGTTAGTTATGCATTGAAAAAATAATAGTTTTAAATAAATTATTTCTAAATAAAAGTGGATTGAACTTAAAATAATTTATGTTTCAACATAAATGCAAGTTGAATAAAAAAATTTAATGCCAAAATCATGATTAGATTTAAAAACTATGTGTATGTTTAAGTTTAATTTTATAGAGATTTTGAAATGACACCCTTCCAATTAAAAACTTGGTATATATCATTTCTCATAATACCAAAAATATTTATGTCGGAAAAAAGTCATGCAAAAAATTTGGTAGCCAATAAAAAACTTCAGTAGATCATTCAAAAAATATAATATTCATTTTCACCGGCATTTTAAAAAATCTTATGCATGAAATGTTTTTTCAAAATTTTTAAAAAATCTGAAAACTGAAACAAAAAAAAAATGATATACCAATATTTTAAAAAATCCAGAAAATCGTAACACCCTAACCCTAAAAGCTCTTATTTAAAAAGATCATGCAAATTATTTATTTTAAAACCAGCCTAGAATGTCACACCTCTCTTATAAAATATCCTTCCTTCTCAACTTAAAATTTAAGCAGCGGAAATTAAAACATCACAAACTCAACATAAATATTTCATACTTTCATAAAACAACTTAGTTCCAACATAAGGAAATAAATACAACAAACTCTCAAGAAAACATCAAACAACTGAAAACCTGCCCCAATGTTACACTATTAGAGCAAAATACGAAAATACTAAGTAAACTCAGAATGATAAATAAAATGAAATATGCATCTACATCAATCCTTCCACACGGCAACAGTTAATCCTCCTCTCCGTGGGTATCTGTACCATTAGTACAACGAGCTACACAAGCAAACAAAAGGGGTGATAAATACATTTGTAAAGTTAATGGTGTATATAAATAGTTACGGTAGTTGCAATGGCAGTATTCAACAATCACATAAAATAGTTCACAGACATAGAGCAATCATAGATGCAATTTTATGTAATGCAATGTGACTCATCCCTAATACTTTAACATTTATGTGGTACCAAGTTTTTGGATTTCAGAGTTATGTTACTGATTGATCCACGTCTATGGCTCCTCATTTGAACCAACGATTCCACCGATGAATCTGAGGCTCATCTCGAGTTCCTCATCTGAACCAACGATTTTTCCAATGAATCTGAGACCACCAATGAACATGATGCATCAAATGTAACTAGCAACACCAATATACTACTTAACAACAGCTCCTTATCTGAACTGACAATTACGCCAATATCAGGCCACCACTGTAGTTCCTCGTCTGAACTACTCATCTCAACAATATATATACATGTAATCACAACTCATAACATGCATATAATTATATATATTCATTCAACATTACACACCAACGGAGAAAATACTAACATATGTGCTCAACAATACTCATCAATAGAGTAAAACATATTATTACTCAACTATGTTCACCAACAGGGTAAGAAAATTATTATACTTGCTAAGCATTGCTTATCAACAGGGTAACAATAATATTCTATAACCCTCACATTCAATAGGGTCAACTCATAACTCATCAGACAACTCCATACAACACATTATTATTTACCTTCAACTCTAACATTGTCAAAATGACTCTCAACTCATCTAAAGGTAACAAACACTCACAAAAAAATAAAACTATTCAAAACTCATCGAACTGGATTGTGAACCTTGAAATCATTGACCCGCGCCGACTGACCGTTGTCCGCAGCATCACTAGATGCCACTTGTGTGCCCCTATGCTCGCGCCACTACAGATTCTTGCACACACATTGTGTTTGATGTCGCCGCATGGTCGTATGCACACGCACCTTTCTGCGACTGTTGTTGTCCAGTTGTCGTACGTGCACCGCCTCTGATGTTATGGCACGACACCCCCAAGATTCTCAATTTTTTTATTTTTTAAATTTTTTATTTTTTGCCTTACTAAACATATCTAAACTTTCCTCACCTATTTGATTACTAATTGTTTTAATGCATGTTAACCAAGGTTAATAAGACTCAAAAGAAAAACATACATATTAATATATGCTTGCCTTATCATAAGGTACAACCATTATTCAATCAATCAATTCTGCCTTAACAAAAGGCAACAATAAGGTTATTAAAACAAAGTAAACTATGACCAAATTCAAATTGATTATAATGTTATCACAACAATCACCTCAGAAGGTTTTGCCTAAACCTTCTTTACCCACCAACATAAACACAGAGAATCAAGATGAAGATTATAGAGAGTAAGGATCTCTCACTATCTGACTACCTAAACACCCACGTGTGAACAATTCTCACCCCTTTTTACCTCAAAAATGCAGCAAAAACCAAAGTTTGGCTATGGAGTCTTCCTTTCCAAAAGCTCTCTTAAGATTTTTGCCTATTTCTACTATTTGTTTATTTTATCCAACTTTTCACATGGTGACTATTCTTTTTCCTTCTCTCACTCTTTTCTATTTAAATTAACCTAATTTTATTTCAATTAGATTAATTCCATCACCTCCTTCCTGTTTCTTTATAATTCCACCTCATTATTTTATTTTTAATTAATTTATGGTTTTCTCTCCAAAACTACAAATTCTCCATTTTCTCTATTATCCTTAATTAATTTAAATATTAAACTAATTCTTAATAAAAATTCAACCATCCAATAATTAAATAATGCTTGTTTAATTAAATAAAAGCATATCAAAACTCAAATAATTATTTTAAAAAAATATTAAAAATATTAAAATAACACTAATAAGATTAAAATTAAAACTGGGGTGTTACAACTCTCCCCACTTAAATGATTTTCACCCTCGAAAAGAACCTGAAGGAAACAACTTCGGATAAGATTCCCTCATCCGACTATCCAGTTCCCGCGTCGCGCTTCCTCTAGTAGGTCCTCCCCACGCCACCTTCACTAAAGC